AACTGTTTCAACGAGGAGTCGTTATCGACCTACTTTTTAAGGATTCAGAAATACGTTGTGACGTCATTCGTCTTCTTGCAAATTTTATTCCCAATATAACCGGTGCACACGTGGTCTCGTACGAAATGACTAATGCATGGTAATTAAACGATAGTCGACAAATGAGCTTTCTGTGAAATTAAAATACGCTAATTAATTTTATATTGATAATTAAGGAATGGTCGATTAGAAATTTACACGTTTTAATATATATATATATTTATAATATATTGTATATATATATATATCTTCCTAAGGACTAAACGAGACACGAGAGCAACGAGGCAGGACTTAATAAATCGTAGGCGGTGGCTGTGCGATCTTATCGACATCTTGATCGCGCTGCCGATTCCTCGGGTGGCGCACCTCGGCAAAGTACCTGCATTATAATGAGCAATAAATAATCGGCAAGGGACTTCCACCCTGATCTCGGGTAATATATCCTATATCAACAAATTCCAAACAGGAATATCCGGAACGAGAATGACTTGAGGGTGCTAAGAGTTTCGATAAGATCGGCTAGACGAGGTCAGGATCAGTGTGTGTCCGGAGGCTTGAAAATTGCTATGATTATCCAAGTGGCTGACAACTCGCGTATGATTTGTCGATCAAGGGGAGGATGGAAAAAAATTTTTTTTCAAAAAAAAAAATTTTGTTTCCACTTGCATCCGGCATCCTGATATATTTTAAAATCATGCGCTGTATGATTTACAATGATCCCCTTTGGGCCCAACTGGCTTTACAGTAGTTTTGTATTACTCGTGTTATTTAGGGATGCAGGCTGGTGTCCGGGATGAACTAATGGAGGACTTCCTATATGGTAACATATAGAGATGCTATACAAGTGTCAAGGGCAGGTGCTTCTATATCTATCACGTATGGTCTGCACCATATGTATATTATGCAGGCCGTTGGCAATGTGTTACATACTCGTATTTACAGGTGCCGTCGCACTGTAACACTCGGTTGGGTGTGGAAGGTTCGCGCTTTGTATGGCCGTGGCCAGTGTGTAACGGCTGCCTCGTAAAACGAACGACGCTTTGCACTCGGTCGAACGAGCCGCTGCACAGGGTTGCATAATTGCTGGACACCGGAGACCGGGTTTTACAGGGTCGTGGGACCAAGTCGGTTTAAACTGGGCCCCGAGTCCCACGAAACTATCGTTAAGGCTGTGCGATGGGTATAACCTCCAAATGTCTAGACTCCGCATTATAAATCGTACGTCTGACGGTGGTTTCCGTTCCGTTTCCAACGTTCCGCTTCGCGACGAGAGGCAGGAACGCTTTACTTCCGACTCAGATAAGGCTTCAGGTGAGATACCACCGACTTGCCAGATTAATAAGGCTGATTATGTAAACTCGTGTAATTTCACATTGTCGAAGTCTCAGGTAGCTGGTTCGTTAGCGTGCCTGAGAATCCGTATGGTGTATTCGCGATAATACGACCATTCAGACTTCAGCATCGCGCAATCTCGAATAACATAGGAGCGCTGCATTCCGTACGAATGTCCTGGGGAGACTTGCATTTCCGATGCACCCGAGTGCACGTAAGACCGGACGATAAGGAACATGGATTATTTCGCGTTTATCTCAAAATGCATTTGGTTGCGTAATGCGAGATGCAATTTTTCGAGATTGCAAAAAAAATTCATTACTCGCCTGACCCCGTTGAATCTCATTCCGGTCCATTTTCCCAGCATCCCTATGAGCTATAGATTTTTTTTAGACGAAAGCTCACAGACACACGTGAAATTGCGAATGGCCGTAATTCAATGGTTTTTAAACCCACGCCTTATCACGTGCTCGCTGAATAACTCGGAGGTCATGTCACGTGCACTCGGCGATAAAACCAAGAGAATCGATAAATCCATAAACGTCATTGAATACGTTAAGCAGCGTCTTGAGCCTCTTCCTTCTATTGGAAAATCTTCACGGATACGTCGGCCCAGCCTGCGTTCAAAGTCACGTGGAAGGGCAGTAACTCGGCGCCGCGACGCCCACGTGCATCAAGGTGAACACACCCGGCTTGATTGTGAACTTTGCGAGTTTCGCACGAAGGTTGCATGTCCTGCGCCTTCGTTAAGGAGTCGCAACAGGAAGAGAGCAAAGATCGGTATCTCGAGCCACCGAATCCGGTTGGTCTTCGCTCTGTTGTTTCCGGCAAGAAGACAATCGATTCGGTATACCTATGTATGTGCAGCTAATAAATATTTTTAAAAAATCGATCCTCCAACATACCTTTACATCGGCCTATTCTTTTCGACTGATTACAACGTACCAATTACACGTAATCGTGGTATCGGATCTGACGTCATGCCAACCGCGATTAAATAAATATTGCAAGGATCGACTTCGATAGACTCCTGAGGCAGCTGCAAACTTTCTTCTGGACCCGCGTGACCTGACCCGCAACTTATCTCTCGGCTATATTCAAACCTTGGCTCACGTTCTAAGTCCTCGAGGTTCTACAACAGGCTTTTACGCAAAAAAATCAGACAATTCTTCTATCTCCACGGATTGTCTCTAATGATAGACTTAGAAAGGCTTAGGCTTGCGGTAGAAAACTTTGCATTTAATTCTTCACTATACATACGTATGCCTACCGCACAGTCCCATTATCTCCTATGCTATCCGTACGATCAAGAATCGATGCTCCGAAGTAGGTCGTAATTTTTTTTTCCCCCCCTTAACTCAATACACAAAACAATAAATTTTCTTCATGTTTTTTCTAAAGAAATTTATCGAGTCAATTATTTGAGAAATGGATGACCCATTGTTCTAAGCGCATACCGAAAGCTTCGATTTACGATCAACATTCCATGTGTTCGAATACTGTACTCCATATCCTCCTACGCGTGCGCACGCATGGAAAGTCAACTATACTGGTTGACATCCGATACGGTACCGTAATGACGTCCAATGTTTTGGTATTACGTCAACTATGGCTGTACAGGTAAAATTACTTAAATATCGCATACCACGTATATCAATGGAAACAGCAATGCGTTATCACGTTCTGCTTGAGTCGTGCGCAACCGGAGCAGGTTCCGTTACGGAAACGCAATTGTTACGCAATGAACGTTCAGTAAGAAGAACGTTAACGCTCCTTTGAAAAATATTTACGAGTGATTGCCGTGCGTGGGTAAAGTGCATTATAAGCGTAATACGATACAAGTGGAACGTTCGACGCATTCGAGTTTCACTAACTCAATCGAAAGCGCATCGTTATCGATCTCCTTTGCCAAATCGTCAGAGTTCGATTTTCGATCGATTATCGATTACGACGATCGCAATTACTATGAACGCTGATATCATACTTTCTCCGACCTCAAAATTTAATCTGAATTTTTTTTTTTTTGGCATTCCATACAAATTTTTATTATTATATCATTTTATCATTTTCATTTTTCGACGTTCCGATCAAGAAAAATATTTTTGACAACGAAAAGGGTTAAGAGCTTGTAACACGCACTCTGCTATCAATTGCTTCCCATTGTGCCCTGATGAGAACCTCCGTGACCAGGTGAGAAAGGTCCTCAGGGCAACAGCCGAAGATTACACAGGTGTGATAACATTGTCTTCCCTCATCCGGTACCTTTTTTTTTTCTCATGACACAGCCTCGTTATCTTATGCGCTTATGCGAGGAATTTTCAGTCATGATCCAAGTACACATGTCGCACATTGATCCTGTACGATTTTTTTACATACAATTTTTCAATACCTCCAATATATATATACACATCAACCCTGTATATCATATATACAGGGTGAGTCTTACCAAACGTCCAAAATGGGTCTTGTCAATATTCATACCCTATAAGACATACCATCATATATTAAACCCAACTCCTCAGATATTTCCCATAGGACTTTATGGTAATTCCACACACAAAAAATTTCTACTTTCTTCCAAAGTCCCCATACGTGTCCACGTATATAATGCCGATAGCTCATAGCTTCACTAGCTATACATTCGACGCTTTCGAAAAATCTCCAACATAACCTATGAACAGCTAGCCATCAATCTGTCCATCTGCCTGTCCTCTCTCCAAGAAATGGAGTTTCACCATTTTCTTATTCGCGCGATCAATATCTCCAATCGATTTTTTTCATTCGACTTTCGTCAAGTGGGTCGATCACCGGTAATTACCCTGAACAGACTATATATATATATACATGTATATACCGTGCCACGTGTGAATATTTGAAAATAAATATAACGTATATGCTGCATACAATCGATAGTCACATCAAATTTGAATATAATTCAATGAATACGATTAAGCGACTTTCACTGCGCTTACGATTATCGATTATAACCCGACTGGATTATTCAGCCGCGGATGCAAAAAATTACCAGAACTTCAACCACGCTCGCCCCACGGCGTGATCATCTATGGGGAAAGCGATATAATAAATTACACGATACCACCTTTATAACCTTATAGCTTTAAGACCAACCGACATAAATATCGGGGACGTATGTTAACGTGTTCTGGAAAGTAGATCGCATTACCTACGGTATGCACCTTTAAGTACGTGCGTCTCACGCGTGCATATTGCACGTATGCCTATATGCACTATGTCGAGGATATAGAGAAAATTCGAGTTTCGCTGTCAATTTTTTTATTCCACAGCTTGAGCACGTGTGCGATATTAAAAATAGCATTGGATGTCGGTTAATGATATTGTGAAAAAAAAAAATATATTAATAACCCCGCGATCATGGGTAAAGTTAATTATAGGTATATCCAATCGTAAATGCAATAATCATTTATATAGATTTTTTTTTAAATTATTCTCATTCTACCGATATTCGAAATTTACTATTGCTCAATCATGTCAATGTATATATTTCAATATACACGTTCCAATAGATATATGTAAATAATATTTCGCACAGTATTAAATTCGCACGTTTCACGCCAATAATACATATCCCTGTGTTATACTTGTTTCAGGCTCGGATTACGATCTGGTGGCTGTTGCACATTCTAAGCGTGTCTTTGCTTCCGCAACTCGTCGTATCCAAAGCGGGTAAGTGAGACGCCATTGTAATACCATACATGCGAAAATTTAGCGATCAACATGCGAGACCGTCAGATTTATACGGCTTTGAGAATTCGCACGTCGCGCGCATACAATTACGTATGCAGTTCGAAGGTAAACGCCATTCAGAGATAACGACAACTAGTTGCGGTCTATCGTATTTCCCATATGCATAAATCTAATCTTGATTGCCAATTACTTACGTCCAGTACCAATGGGACATATTGGTTTATTGTCAGGATCGGGCATAAACAAACGAATAAGCGGCACGCGCGGATTTCTAAGCTTCCTGAGTCCAAAGTGCATCATATGCATTTCCGTTGCATCGGAATTTCTTGCACATTGGAAAAAAAATTTTCTTATTCAATTATCAAAAATTTATATCACTCTTGAGTCTCGTTAGGAAAATTTACGGTTTACGTAATTCTGCTGCGTTGCAATTTTGGGGGAGGGGAAGGGGCATATGTGAAATCTCAGTGTACGTTTATGGCTACCGAGTAACGTGGGAATGCCACAGAAAATTTTATAGTATTTCCTTTTACACGTGATTGTTTACTCGTTAAGACAGAAAAGGGAATTAAGATTATTTTAACTTTGCAGGTAATTAGATATCGTTGTGATATGGGGATAAGGTGGTTCTACATTTTTAATGGGTTCGAACGTGCTTTATTTGGAATTTTTGATAATGCACTTTTTTTTCTATTTCAACAATACGGTACGGCTCTCACGAGCCTGCCCGAGTTATTTGAATTTTTCCATGTGTTTCACCTGGAAAGTCAGCTTGTGCAGACCGTGGTTAAGGCGCGTCCATAACTCGCGATTTCAACAAGGTGTACGAGAATATCTGTCTTAAGAAAATTTACCGAGCACCGTAGACACGACGCAGCTATAAATATGGACACGAGAGAATGGTTTCCGTAAAACAAGTATTTTTATTAGAAAAAAAAAAAAATTAGTGTACTAGCATTGGTAGTATAAAGAAACACAGACGCGCAGATATTCAAACTGTCCAAAAAATTTCCCGACGAAAATTCATTCCCCATAACCCAAAGACAGGTGGTAAAAATTTTCATCGTCCCTCCTGGAACCATCAGCAAAAATGTTAATTTTCAAAGAAAATTTGACTAACTAAATTATAAAGTCGATTAAGAACAATAAAAAAAAATTTAAGAAATCACAACCAATCATATCCCACCCATTTACCTCTGATCTTACGTACAAAGGTTAACGTCCCCATTTTAATGGCATCAAGAGAAGGAGGATGCACCGCTCCTCAATCTTCTCGATGCAACCTGCACTCGGATGACATTTCCACTTACACTTTACCTACTTCGTGCAGTGAACGTATTCAGATGCACCTTCACCAAGTGCAGCTGCACGATAAAGATATTTCGAATAACATACAGACGCATCGCGAATATCGTATAAATGCAGATATTCACAAATGCAGATTACATTTTCAATTTCCCTGAATTTCATTTTTTTTTTTTACCGTTAAGCGTTTCCTACGGCAAAAACACGTTACGTACAACTGCCTCATGACGTGCCTCGTTTCAGAGCAAACTGGAGCAAGGCGTTAAAACTCCCCGGAGATAAGTCCCATCTCATTTGACTATGAAAATCTCAGATTTGGTCCAGAGGTTCCCGACGGAAAAAAAAAATCCTAGACTCGATAAAATTATCTCGTTCGACTCAAACGTTACAAACCGTAACAACGCCTGTTATACCTATATATATACCTGTATATAACATAACGCACGTGACTTTGAACACGGTACGTAAGACGTTATTATAGAAATGTGCAAAGACGGCTATTGCGACGGAAATCATTCTAGCGTAAAGTTATCGCATGACCATGAAAACCCGCTATGATTCCCCATATAACGTAGGAACGCGCCATGAATTATATTTATCGATAACCTCGTGACCTCGTAGGAATTTTTCAAATTCCCTTCATTTTTTTAAGGTCTGTGCGAGGTCGAGACTGGCCAATCGAATATCATCGTCGATATCGAAGAGAGCAAAGGGGATGGTAAGTTTTTGACTTTTTTTATTTATTAAAAAAAAAAAAATTTATAAAAATCGATAAAGCACGATCGATTGCCGTCGATCGATCTCGAGTCCTCGAAGTCATGGATGCGAAAGATCCCCATTGGCAGGAGGTTACTCACGCTGTCATTTTTTGTGTACTGAACTCGTTCCAATATACTTGTTATATATCGATCACTAATACACAGTATATATTGATATATATTGTTATCCTCCTGATAATAATTTCAACCAAAGTATTTAGTGACTGACGTGCACATAATTCACGATTCGCATTGGCCTGGCGCGCAGCTTAAAGGCAGGGCTTCTGCGCAGCTTTCTAACGACGCGTAACATGGTGTAATGCTTCATTAGGCGAAAGTGGTTGTTAAATTTAAGTATCGTAATTAGCGGGGGTGTAATAGCGCTATAGTAAGATATAGCAATAAGTATAGCTTATGACTATATTAATTAATTGAAAGGAACATGCATGCCTAATTACACGTTTAATGTGGATTGAATTAAATATTGAAAAATATTTGCATATTTTTGTCATATAAATTTCGCTGATTACACGCGTGTTATCGCATTGCGCTGTGCTTGTTGACTGGCAATATTGATTTTGACGTAATCCGGCAGGGAATTCGTAATATCAATCAATGAAAATCATAGGGGATTCTCTCCGTGAAACATTCTCCTTAAATATTTCATTTTCAGCCATCGATCAGAAGACTGTACCCAGCGAACTTCCGGTCTCGGGAGATCCGTTCAATGAGACCACTTTGGAGTTGATATTTTCCGGGAGGAAACCGATCTTCACCCTCGAAGGAAAGAAGCTCAAGCTTTTAGAACCACTAGACAGGGACGACGCGAATCTGTCCCACATTATATTCCAGGTGAGAGATTTATATATAGGAAAAAAAATTTTCTTCAGAAATTAAAAAAAAAAATTTTTTCTTACGTTCATCAACGAATTTCTCTATTATGATCCGAGAAAGTATGTCTAATTGTTGTTCTTGTCATTTGGTGCTTAAATACGTTATCGGCGAACCGTGAAATATCGTCCAAACTGCTTTCTCCGTTAAACCGCGCACGGAGTTATGACTCTGGCTGACACCTATAGATCTCATGGGAGTCCGCGTTTACCTCGAGTGAATTAAAAATTTAACACGTTGGACAGCTGGGTCTTGGAAGGACTGCCGTCATTAAAAGTCAAGGAAACTCGAGCTGACTCTCTGCCATCAAGTTAAACTCAAGAGTAACGCCTACTATGCCGTTTGCGAATTTCGTCATAATTGCGAGATCGTAGCATGTTATATATATGTACCACTTAAAATAATTTCGCGGTGAAGTCTAAAAGCTTTCTTCTTTATTTTCAACTGCACGAGAAACTATGTGAACCGCAAAATTACGATGGCACGTAAGGGAGAGAGATCAGTCATGCAGAAAATAAAGCGATTAACTTTCACCGAAATTTCACTGTTTTGTATTAAAAAAAGAAAATTGATCCGAAATATATAAATAAATTTTTGTAAGCTATATATATATATATATCATCATAGACCCTTTACAGTCCATCATATATTCAAGTAATAAATTTTTACCCGTATAAAATACGAGTAAATAAATACACGAGCCAATCTGAAACTAATATTTTTTGCAACAATAGAAAATCAATAAATTGAATTCGCATTAAATATTTATAAGACACCGAGACTATAGATACTAGCCTATAAGATTACTGCACGCTATAGCCATGCAGGAAGTGGTCAACTCCATAAAGAAAGTGCAATTGCACCCAGTCTCATGCCGAACCCTTGCAAACCCGAGTATACCACAAAGTATAAATTTCATGACTGGCGTTGCCATAACATTTTTTGAAAATTCGAATCGAGCTCATAAATTTTCCCACAAGGATCCAAATCGCGAATGCTCGTATTCTTTATCGACTGGGTGCAAATAAAATTAGAAATTACCTCAAATCGTCATTTGACTATCACAATTGTGCAATCTAGGAATGTGCAAATTTTTTATCTCCGCTTTATTACGCACTCTCGTTCGGAATGTGAAAGGTCTAGAGCACCTATGACGCAAGACACGGTCGGATGCTGCTGCACGATTACGTAAATACTTGGACGGTTCGATCTTTCGATGACGTCATAATGGAGATAATACAATTTTTTTTCTCATACGAATTTCAATAGAAAGTACTTTTAACGAAATATATAATTTTCTTCCTTTACATAAATCTTTCGTTTTTCTTCTTTCACAGCTCACGTGCACGATCAAATCTTCGAACAAGAAGAGGAACATTCCGGTGATTGTGAGGGTATCCGATATCAATGATAACGCGCCGATATTCATTAACACGCCATACGAAACTACTGTGCCGGAGGTGAGTCTTGGGTAGATTATTTTTTCTACAGATAATTCAATATAAAAGTTGTGTAATAAATGAGATGAGACCCCCAATGAAATTGCGATTCACAAAGCTCCGAGAGCTTCTTCCCGTATACCGAGAAAGAAGGTATCCCTATTAACTTTCAATTAAGACTTTTTTACACGTGGCTCTAAGGTCATTGGGCTTATCAATGACTAAAATCAGTCACGATGTAAATGGATACGTCCGATATGGCAAAGTGCATATATTCATTAACATTATTACCGGTCGATTCAGCCAGAGGCGAACGTTTCTGCATCAACTTTCATTCATATTCCCATCGCGCGTACATAGATACGCGTGACTCTGAGTTTCGCCCTGAAAACCTGAAACGCATTCTGATGACGTTTTTAAATCTTCCGAAACGTCGTTAAACCCCACTTTAAATCCACCATCGGAGCATCGACAGTCGCTCACAGAATAATCGCCCACATAGAAATAAACGAACCGGCTCCATACAAGGAAGAATAATTTTTTTTCAAAAAAAAAAAAAAAATTTCTCATCAAAATTTCTCCTCACAAACTTTATTTCTCTTTTTTTTCATTGACGTTTATTTTCGTCCAAAAAAACGTTACCACTGTATATACAATATAATCCAAAAATTCCAAGCAGACCATTACCGAATTATTTTGAAATTCAAATCACCAATTAACATTCTCCCCACGACCAGATCCAACGTAGCTCAGACGCCGTCTCGACGGCAGCGCCAAATCCAGTTGGCGGCGATCTTTTGAGTCGGACTGAATAAAATAATTCGATCAAAAATATCCACGTTTAAGATTTCAATCTACATTCATTCTATATGTACACACGTATAATTTTATCATATAATATATATATATATATGAGGTCCGGTTAGTTTCGCATGGTAGCTCATATCCACTTCCACCAGATAAAATCCGTTATGCAAGCGGGCATCTTTCGCAAAAATAAAATCTTTTGCCTCCCCTCCGCAGCTAACCCCGGTCGGCTCGACTATCTTCAAGAACATCGTGGCCGTCGACGCGGATGCTGGAGTCAATGGACTTGTGGAATACTCGATAGCGCCAGGCGATGGCAAAGGGATTGGCAACAGTGATGGCGTCGGTCGGGATCGTATTACGACCGCCGATGGATACGGTTACTTCAGCATCAACCTGCCTCATCAGGGCCAGGTTACCGTCAATCGTACTCTGGATTATGAAAAGACCCAGCGTTACCTGGTGACCATTCTCGCATCGGTAAGCAGCCCCCACAAGAGTCCGATCACCGAATCCTCATCATCGGGAAACCCAACCGTCCTGCGATTCCTCAATTTCATGTTGGATAAAAATGAAATTAATTTTCAAAGAAAAAAAAATTACGCGACAGATACTTTTTTCAATCACCCCGAATCAATTTTGAGAATAAAATAATAGGAAAAAAAATCAAACGGGTGACCCGTTAATTTTAATGGCATCCACGATGGCGTCAAAGAAGAACGGACATTGGTCAATCGCGTGGGTCGTAGGAAGAGGCCAGGATTCCCAAGTGAGTCACCGAGCCAACGCGCCGATTTGCAGACCATATTCGCAATTTGCTTTATCGACTCCCCACATATCCTAGGATTCTTTACTATATGGCCATTGGTCCGACGCGGTTGCATCCCTTGCGAATTTCTTACGCGATCCTTATTTTCAATATTGCTCACGCGTTATATACGCCTATAGATTTTCACGGGTCGATTTACCAGCGGGCACCGTGTACTTTGAATTTCAAAGAATTACGTCCATTCACGGTCGACGCGTCACAAGTTCCAGAGTTACCTGTATAATGTTTCAAAAGTTACCGACTTACGTTTCAACTTTGATTACGCCTGTATAATGCATACCTGCAATGGTAATGCGAAATGGACAAAGAAAATTGCAACGCATGTAGGTATCGGCGAATAGGGTTATGCACAGTGGGTAGATAAGTCTCGACTGTACACGTATGCAGTTAGTTGAGGTAGGACAGTCGGCGTGCGGCATTAGTCACGGTTCGACTTTGAGACGAGAAAAACCGCAAGTTACGGCCTTTTTCGCGAAGTGATCAACGGTTACGGATGTATCGCGAAATCGGTATCCGAGAAAAAAATTTCGTGATAAATTAAAAAAAAAAATTGTGTACAAATTTTTGTAAAAATTCAAAATTTTTTAAAAGTTTTCCCCTTCCTCCTGCCGAAGGGAACGAACCGTGTCAGACACGTCAAGTGTCTTAAACGCTCCTGATTACTGATTACGGAGCAGCCTCTTCCGCGTCCCATACGCAATATTAGATAGATCAGCCTGACTGCATTCCAGCAATAAAACAATGAGAGCAAGAGAGTCGCGGGACGTTGCCGCGTGGGCCGTATAAAATTATAGGGCAATCACGATCGGGGCGAACGATCTTATCGTTCGTGGGTAAAAACGCGCGTGTGGGGATTATGCAAGGTGCGCCGTGGGAAGGGTGGACATTATTTCCGGAAACAGGGATAACAGTCCCAATAGGGATGTAATAGTGTAATAGGATATAATCGCTTTTAAATAGAATCGATCGATGATCACGATTCGATATTATCTTCGGTACACTTGTATGTATCGTATTATACATTTTTTTTTTCTATAAATTTATCAGATCGCCGGTATTGCAAACTACAAAAAATCTTGCCCGATATAATCTCTATGAAAATACATACGGTTTTCGAATTTCGAGTTTCGATTCAACGGCCTACTCGAGCCGTGTGCTCGGGATCGGAGATAATCCGCAGGAGATACAAAAGTGTATATATATACGTGGGATATAAAAAGCATATTTATCCTTTCTTCTCACTATTATTTATCTGCACTTTAATTCAGGTAGATAGTCATCTGCTTGTTAATCGATTTTACTATACCGTCATGACCCACTGGGTCATGAAAATTTTTTAATCAAAATCTGGTCAAACTAAATCAGTGACGCCTCGGCGAGAGGAAGTCGAGCGTTTACGGATCAAGAAAATTGAACAATAGTTAATCGACGAGGATGCTCGTTACCTGCATTTTCTTTTTAAATCCGACAAATTTCACCGTGGATCTTTTTCGTAACATGAAAGTCTTGTCTGTGTGGCTTCTATTGTTAGCTTCCATGATCGGCCACATCGTCGAAGGCGCCACAGTAGATTCTTTAATGGTGAGTGATTCCTTGGAATGCGGTTAACACGTTTCTGACAATAGCCAATCACTGACATCAACGAATGCGAATTGCGAATTGATGCGACTTGATGCGAATGCTCGTTAGATGCAAAAAAAGGCTCATTTTGAAAATTTTGAAATTTTTTACTAAAAAATGCGTCCACGATCTTTATCCCTGTTGATTTACACTGCTACGGAGATACTGCAGTGCCAGAGGATATTGTGATGAAAAATACCAATAAGACGTAGGAATCGCGGCCCACGGTAAATTTATTGAATTACATTTCCTATACTTTGGCAAAGTTCGGTAATTCGGTATCGAATTACACGTAACTTCTGCTTTTCGAAAATTCCTACATTCAGTGTATTTGACATACGAGAAGAACGTTGGTACCCGTGTACTACACCATTTGCGAAAAACTTGCCCGATCTTTACGACCGTATCTCAGTTTGACCGGAGAGACAAATATTTTCATTTGCTCGATGCCAAGATCATTATGAAATATCGATTATGATTTTACGACGATAATAAAAAAGTTACGGAAATTTTGTTAGGTACTTCGCAACATTAAAATCTTACGAGATAAGCTAATCCAAGCGAATACGTAAACTGCATCGACTGGTCGGATGCACATATGCAATTTACATTCACTATACATATACGTATACATCTGTAGAAAATATAGTTGGTGGCTGAGCGTATCTCAAGGCGTAAGATAAATCAAAGAAAGCTACAGATATAATCACAGTGAATAGACGTTGCACCAGCCGCCAATTTATCTTGCGTTAGATAAAAGCACTGGATGCAGCTGCCGTATGGCTGCAGGTGGGGAGCATTTCAATATCATATAGAGCAACTTACTTCGTCATTCAATTCGATGCTAGAAACATTTTTCAAATTAAAAAAAAAACAGGATCCACAAAAATACAATCTTTGTTGTTAACAATTCAAGAGTGCACGTGTACACGTGGCAGCCACGTGAAACGTCAAACTGACGTTTCAAAAATAACAGTCCTTCTTACAAACAGCAAATCAATGCTGTCAACTGCGCTCACGTAAAATCTCTATGAGGCAATGTTACCATCGAAACAAAAATCACCGGACACACCACGTGCTACTATTTACGTTTTTTATCAACGCCAAAAACGTTATCAAAATTATTCTTCAACGAGCGACAAGACCGCTGCACCTGTGGCTACCCGAGTAAATTGCCAAGAAAATAATAGTATCGGTACAGTGGTATTGAAAAAAAAAAGAGTTAGAATGATCCAAATCAAAGAACTAGTGCCAGGTATCCACGGTATCCATATACAGGTATAATACGTTAGTAAAATTTAACTGCATCAAATGCACTGACTAGCGATACCAAAGTGCAGTGCTTATCAAAGTCAGATGACCGAGTTACCTAATAATTTGATACCGCCAACCGCCATGAAATTACATAGAATTACCAGTACGGATGGACAGATGATTTAGTCTGTAATGGGATCAAATCGACTTCAGGCTACCCCATAGAGGACGTCTACCTCACCACAATATTTTTTCATTACTTATATTAAAAATGGGGGGGG